CTCCTCCCTTCCTCTCTCTCTCTCTCTCTCTCTCTCTCTCTCTCTCTCTCTCTCTCGATATGTTAGAATCAGCGTTTCAATCTTTTAGGAAATTCTCACGGATTCGAAATCGATTTATATGTTGTTTATCTATTTCTTGCCTCTTCCTGAATCGTAGCACTAGCTAATCGCGATAGAAGGATATCGAATTAATAATTGTAAGAAATAATGCAAACACTTTGAAAAATCAAATGTTATTAGACAGAATATAGTTGAAAAATAAATTTGGAAATTCAGTTTTTATTAAAATTCACAAAAAATTATGTATTTATTTAGATAGCTTTTTAATTCTTTGCTCTAGACTGAAAGAAGTCCAGAGCATGATTTGATTCCATGTGAATATTTTAATTAACCCTTACCGTACCAGCTACAATTTGGTGCCCCATCCATAGAAATGGGAGTAGAATCCGTCCGTTTTTTCTTCGCCTATTTCGAATGATTCAAAAAAATCTCTAAAAATTCACCAACATACTTTCAACTTTCTAGAATTAATATTGACACTTTATTTTGGAAAATAATAAAATGTAGTATAATTTATAATTACCGAAAGACACAAAGAAACTTGCACGAACAGGGATCGCTCGAAATGTGACGCCCTCTTGTACGGTAAGGGTTAAGATTAAATAATAAATTTTATCATACACATTTCTGTCGAAGTCATACGTTTCAGGTATTTGAATTTTCAAGAAAGTCTTTACATACATCAAAAATCTGATTAGTTAGGTATCTAAAGAACATCTGAAGGGCGTTGAAAAGATTAGATCGCCTTTAGACATCTTTCGAACTTTTCATTATCGGGACATCCTAATTGTACCTTCTAGCGCGCGCGCGTCAATCTCTTCGTACATATTTTAAAGGAAGCAAAGTCAAAACTGGATAATGGGTTAGGGCGACGCGACGGTGAGATAGTTACCTATGGTGTCGAGGATAGTCACGCCATACGCGATCGGCCGCGTGAGCGAATTGCCGAGGCACGCGCCGCTTCGAAGTACGTAATTATCATAGGGAGGTTTGCCCTCAGACACATACACACGCGTAGGGGGTCGAGGGGTCGGTCGGCTCGGGTCAGGAAGTCACGCGAGGCGCACAGGGCGCACTGGGGTGCGGAAGGGCAGCAACGTTGACGGAGGTAGGAGGAGAAAGAGAGAGTGCTTTTATTGTTCTACGAGTCGTCTTAAAGTCGCTTTTCCTGGCCAGTGGGCAGACCCGTTGAAACCCTCGGCTGGTGGTCGATAACGCGACGTGATGTTTCTCGACGGAGACGCGCCAGCGCGCCTCGACAATTCTCCAATCGACCCGCTGAGGTTTGTATTTATATTATTTTCGCGATGTAAGAGTATAAACCGTTGCGCAATGGGAGCAGCAGCACTCGGATCAATCCTTGCTTATATCCGACGAACTCGACCGAAGCGCTTTTCCTTCCGTTTATATTATAAAGAAGAATATGAAGAAGAGGAAAAAAGTCATACAAAGCTCTTCATCAAGCTTTAATATTTCTCGTTTGATAGGAAATTATACAGATACGTAGCTGGTTACATTTCATCCAGACAGAGACAATTTTATTCCATATAATAGAATATGTTATTAAATTTTTATAAAATTCAAAGATTTTATTGCGGAAGATTGTACTACGCGAAGCGCTAGTCTCTTTTAATCTTCTCTAAAATGAAAGAAAAATTGTTTAAATCAAATTGATCTGATATACGTACTTAATGCTTTCCATAACTGGGATAACATAAATCAAATATGATACGTTTGAGCTATTTTTCGAGAGTAATAAATCCAATTGGGAAATCTGTCCAAGAACTTCAAAATTTTGGACTGCCAACACCGACAGCGCCACAAATAATTAAGCTTCAGGCAATTCACGCGAGGAGGCTTTTTTGACCACTTTGACTTTAGATTGGATCGCGTGGAACGGTACAACGTTTCAGTGCGCATTTTGGTACGGAAAGGTTACATGAGCATGACCTGCTTCGGGACATGGAATAACTTTGGGCTATCAAACACGCGAGCAACATTAATGAGCATACTCGAATTACTCGGTTACAGATATATCTCTAATGTGTTAATTCACGGGTGTCAGTTCATCATTGTCCTTGCATGACGTTACGGAACATCGCTGGTAAAGTCAGGAAGTAATTTGCATTAAAACGCGTCGCTTACAAAGCAATTCGTTGAATTTTTTTTTTCGCATACGTGATACAGCTTCATTGGTATTTTAAAATTTATAAACTTAAATTCTTATTTTTGTTTAAATGAATTATTATTATATAAATATATATAATAAAACTCACTTGGTCAAAAACAAGAGTTTATAAATTTTAAAATGTCAAAAAGAAACTGTATCAATATTATGACAATCTCGTCGAAATATTATTAACACAAAGGTAGATACAATTTGAGAGATAAAATTTATATAATACGGATATATATTGTATGACATGTAGAAATTAGAATTTAAGTCATTTAAAGTTATTTTAACTGAAATATTATATCGTTTATTTAAATGTTCACATTGCATTTAAGTGACAAGTACTATCGCCTTTTATGTTAATATTATCGAAATAATGTTTTCAGAATCGCGTACACTTTTAAGCACTTTACGCTCGTTATTTATGCTTTATGGATAGGCGTTACAATCTCTTAAGCCTCTTCAACTTCTTCTAGTGTTATCCTTTACACGGTAATTATCTAACGAATCTCGAAAGTAGCGCGCGATAACCTGAAGTCGAGTCGCTCTGCGAGGAGACAAGCTTGTAATTTCAATTTCACGCGGTCCGGAAGACCACAAAGTGCCCTCGGGTCAACACACGTCACGTCATGTAATTTCATGAATCTCGGCGATGACGACGATGTCGTTCTCTTTCGCGCCGATGCGCAAAGTGCAAACCGAGTCAAAGGCGACCCCCTGCGCCTGTCAAGATCAGAGAACGGTGCTGGAGCACACTATTCGAAAATGCCCTCGAGTCCACACCTTGCTCGTAAAGCGATTTGTGTGTGCGTCATCGCGAGAAATACCTGAAAATTAAACTTCCAGTGCAATGCGAAAAAGGGAGGCCAAAGTCTGGCCTTCCGAGAAGTCTTTTCTAAAAAGAATCTAATTAATAGAATCCTATTAATTAGCGCGATTCTAATTATTTGAAGAGATCTCTTCAAATAATTTATTCGAACATTTATAAAGTGCCTTAAAATAAAGAGCAAAATTTCGTTCTATTCTCTTATACAGTTATAATAGTACCGGTAAAAAATTTATGGTAAATTGAAGCTAATTTATGAAGAAATAATGAGCGGATCCGTCATTTTTATTTGTATATAAAACTATAATTTTCGATTTTACAAGACCATCTTAGGACATTATTTTTGCACACTATTATTAACCCCAAATTATAGTGCAAAATCGTACGTAGCCACTGCTGCACATTCGTCATATCATACATTGTGTTAAATTACGTTTAAAGCCTCGGTGCTAAGGTGTGACATGGCAGACTGCGCGAGTCGTGAATGCGATCCTGAATACAAGGACGAAGTGGACACTGATGGTGCCAACGGGCGTTCACGAGCGTTTAAAGACGAGACTTTTACATTCTCTCGCCCCACGGAGGTGATCTCGAACAGCGCCCGGGCTGTTGTAACTTGGTTGGTGGCGGCCAGAAGCCGTTTATAACAAAGATGCCTGCGGGCAGGTCTCTGTGATCTCTGCGAGATGATTGTGCCAGGCGTTGGTGTTGGCGTCCACACAGGGTGGGGCCTGCTCTTCGGCGTTACCACTGTGCGGGCAGGCGTCTCTACACAGCCCCCGGGGCTTGCTCTCTGCCACCCTTCCTCACCCTCTCTCTCCTCCGTTCGCTCGCTCGCTCGCTCTCCGTCGACGACAAAGGGGCCGCGGTTCAACGCGCCACAAAGCACCCGGGACGCCACCTACACCCACACCAACACCCACATTCTCGCATCCTCTACGCGTCTGCACGCACAAAGCTTGCTCGAACAAGCCGGAGCGTCGCGACGCGTGAACTTGCACCCAGCGGCGCCGCGACCCACCCTTTAGGTATACGTAGCGTCTAGCGAACCGAAAACGAGGAAAAAGAAAACCTTCCCTCTCAGATAGAGGGAATTTTGTGAGGACAATGAGACAAGGAGGGGGCACGTAGGCGACGTCGCGAAATTTTAGAAAACCACCCCGGTGTTTGACATTGATACGACGGAAATCGAAGAAGTATGAAAGAGTTAAGTCCAGTTGTTGATCGTCAGTGGTGATTAGGGCTGGAATAGGGCTACGTAATCTAATTGTGAGTTCTAGCTACTACGCAATCAAAGCTAATGCTTTGACTTCCGGAAAGAACGTTTTGCTGAAGTATACAAAAATTAGGCCAAATACAGATCTGAAAATAATTAATAAAATAATTATGTAGAATGCATAGACATCGACGATAATACAACAAAAAGTGATAATTAGCTTGAGCATTCAATATAATTATTTAGAAGGGCCTACATAATTATTGTGTATTTTCTATATCTAATTAAATTTTTAGATATTTCAGCAAAATTTTTTTATATATTAATATGAGAAATACATATATAGTATATGTATATGTATACATATAAATTATTCTCATATCCATGTTGAGATGCATTTGTATAAATGGAAAAATTTTGTCTTTGTGTGATCTGTTTAAAAAAAAAAGATATAAAAAGCGCAATGATGTAAATAATTATTGCTTAGTATTAATAATATCAAGGTGTTTTCTATAATTGCAAATAGTAAGAGGTGGAACATTATATTTTCAAGATTGTATAATATTATTTAGTAAGTATTCTATAAATTAATGAATTGAATCTAAATCTACTATCTGAATTAAACTTGCTAAATACAATTGTGTATATAAATACAATTTTGTCTTTATATATTCTCCTCTTAATATTGTTAAACACCTTCGTAAATAAACTCAGGTGAGACTCACCCTGACCAGGTGCCGGCGACGTGGCGTGGCTCCAACCACCCTTATAAGAGCTGCTAGCATCTGAAAATAGGGGAAATATTTTTCAATTAATTTCTTTCTATTCGCAGTGCAAAGTTCTCGATTTGCTTCGACGCGAGGTGGAAATCTACGGTTTATCGATCCACGCAGATATTTCGTGATTTAGCTGGATTGCGATTACATTTTTTGAGGTCACGTCAGTAGCGCGGGCGAATATATCGTCCGCAATTACCGGTTAATCGGTTCGAGGAATCACGAGAAGCCGTAAAGTATATCTGATTGAAAGTGCTTCGAGTTATCGTGGCGGCTTCGACAGGGAAAATCGTGTTTCTTCTGCTTCGCGAAATCTTTACGATATTTTAACGGCTCTGATCGTTCCTGCGTGAGAGCGATGCAAAATGTACGCGAGAGAATTTATACATATGCGTTGCATAAGCATATATCGAAATTTGAAACTGATTTTCTGATACGTAAATTCATATAATAAATAAGAATATAGCTGAGTTATTTACGCTCAAAGTTGTAGACGTTGAAAAATTTGTTGACTACATAAAAATTTTAACTGTTTCATTTATTTATAAAATACATATGTTATGTGGAAAGAACGATTTTGCTGAAGTATCTAAAAATTTAGATAGCTATAGATCTGAAAATAATTTTATTGAACCATTAAAATAATTAGAAAATTCGAGCATAATAAGTAATGATGCAAAAAGCTTTCATATTATACCAACCATTTTGAATTTCTCACACAATTATTATGATGGTCCAACAAAATTATTTTCAGATCTGTGTCTTGCTAAGTTTTTAGATATTTTAGCAAAGCCGTTCTTTTTATGTAAAAAATGATGAGAAGCTATACAAAGTGTATCGATTATAAAACTCAATTTCTGAAATATTAGACTAGACGTTAAAATAAGAAAATCTACTCGTTTTTATATATCATAATAATTTTGTAGTTACAAGGCTCAAAGATGAAACAATTTTAACGAGTTAAATTGTTTATAAGAAATATCTAAAACACGTGTAACTATAATATACAATATAAGAAAAACGTAGAAAATAAATATCACTTTTCAACATTATCGTGTGTCTAATCTTTTAGACACAAATCTCAATATATACATGAAAAGAATGGTTTTGCTGACGTATCTAAAAATTTAGTTAGATACAAATCTAAAAATAATTTCGTTCGGACCATCAAAATAATTATATAGGCCACTTAAACTGGTTGCTATATGTAATGTTAAAATTTTTTGCATCAACATTTTAGCGTTTTACATAATTATTTTGATGGTTTAATGAAATTATTTTTAAACTGTATCTACCTAAATTTTTAGATGTTTCAGCAAAATTATTCTTTTTGTGTACAATAACATTAAATCAGCATTTTCTAATTAGCAATCACTCAAAGAAGTGATCTTGCAGTTATAGCGAAAATGATCTAAGTACGAAAAATCAGCTAGAATAGATAAATTTCTAGCAAGTACTGCGATATTGGATATGTATTGCATCTAATCATACAGATGACAGAGATAGAATTTAGATTTGTACTATAAATTATATGCGTATAATACACAATTTTTTATCAGATACAAAAAAAACAGCGATAATTCTACCTGGAGCAGCAAAATATTTTTTTGCGTGATACTCTTTACATAAATCGTAAATCATTTTTTGTTATTCCACATTTTTCCAGTCATTTCATATGAATCTTGCAATTGTAACAACTTACTTCTTTTATACTTAAAAATGTTTTTGTTTAAAAAAAATTTCCTCTTTTCTGGATCTCTTTTTTTGATCAACGATTAAGTAAATCTAACGGTTTGCTTGGTCGAATAATATCCGAGCAAAAAAGGCGTTCATTGAACAAATATGGAATTATTTGTAACACGTGCGCTTAGTTGTTGCTCGCAACAGCGACGGCGATGTTCTATTCGCCACGCAAGAGTTCTCTCGAGATCTCCCGGCGCCGAGCGAGCGTACGCGTCACCGTCGCCGTCGGTGGCATGTTTGCGAACAGATATATTTTCATTTCGCAGTTATTGGCACAAAGGGTCGGCCCTCATGTGTACATACGTAGGTACGTCACACACCGCGCGGCAGAAACTCCGACTTTCCGAGCAAACAAAACGAGCTACCCGCGCGCTCACCACGGCTCGATCTTTCGTCTTTACTGCCCCCTTCATTTGATCTGGAGACCCCGGAGTCCATTAATGGATCCTCGGATTTCACGTTTCTCAAGTGCTAAGGGGTGCGCCAATCGTTCGGTAATACGCGCCGGATTTTCTTGGGGTTTCTTGCGAAACTGTGTTGCAAGATTACGAACTACATCGCAAAACATCCTTATGAACTCTTCCTTTCTCAAGAGGAATATAGACAGACTTAAAAAGCGGGAATTCCGACGGATTACCGAATCCTTGGATACAACCAATATTATTTGTAATGAACATTTTGATAGAGTAATTATAACGTTGCATATACTCGTACAATAAATTAAGATATAGCTTTTATTAATTATATTATTCATTATTATTTATTATTAATTATACTATTTATTAGGACAGTATTATATAATGTGACACATGTTTTATTCAAAGATTTATTTACAATTTTATTGTGGAATTTATCACTTTTTATTTTAAGTTTCTCAAATTTTCTATTAATGTATTTATTGCAAATAGCATTAATATAATAAATAAGCTCAATAAAACTCAACAATGGCAAAGGTAAAATATATATTTTCGTTTTGTTTGTACTTCATGGATTCCGAATCAATCTTCGACAGGGACTGATAACATATGATTCAAAGGTAACAAAAATTTAATAAAGCAAATAGAAAAAAATATAAACTTAGTTTCGAATTATCAATACGTCGAAAGTTACGTGAAATTATACGAGCTACGAAATTATGAGCTAACAATAGGATGCTGATCTTACAAGAAGTAACTTAGTTTAATTAATAAGTTTACTTTTTTCTGTCACTTTTACGAGCCACGTGGTCACTAGCAATAGCTTCTGCGTTATCATAATTATCAACATCTATTGCATATAGCACTTAATGTTTTAGTAATAAAATAATTAACTGCTCTATCTGGAGAATTCAATACAAATATTCTAGTGAAAGAATCAACAATAGTTTTGTGAGACAATGAAATAGAAATTTCAGAAAGACTTACAATGAATATGCATTGAATTTTTTAATTACTTCTTGGCAATATAGTAAACAATTTCGTTCAAAACACTTTACATATTCTGTTTTAATAAGATTAAATGCTACATTTATCGCGGATAAATGCGTCTGAAAATATACGCATTTTCTATCGAACACGAAACACGCAAAAAGTTACGTGCTGTCGGATCTTTAATCCTGTGTCTGACCCCATTAGACTCGTATCTTCTTCTAAAAGTATATTCACTTTATTTTATATATTTAAAGCAATAAAATAACATATAAATATAAATATAAATATTCACAAAAACATGCGCCATATTTTACGCATGAAAAGGCAAACGTTTACGATACGATTAAGTATAAAGTCGCGAGCTCCTATTTCCATTGTAGCACGAAAAGATTTTGAAAGGCACTCGCGCGACGGACACGGCGTTCCGAGCACGAAATTCGGAGGCAGGTGGACACGTGCGTTATCGTGCGTGGTAGGTATATATATTGAGAGCGTGGGACCGCGATTTATCACCACACTACCGAACATCTGGCACGCTTAAAGCGATTCCGCGCGCACAGACGCGTGGATGGGACACAGAGCGGGACGTCGAACATACCGGCGAACAGCATCGATAGATTGGTGAACGCCGTGGTGCGTGGTAGCTCCGCCGCGGTGGTACCGCTGCTCTTGAGGTCCAGCATCGCGCGGTGCGGTATACCCGCGCCACGACGCGCGCTTTTCCAGCTGCTTTCCCCTACGGTACGGCGGGTGTTTTTAAGCGGGCCAGCTGCCGCTCTTATCGCGGCACCGTCGACTTGCAGATTAGCTGCTGCGGCACGAGGCGCGACGACGACGAGGTTAGGAACGTGGTCATATCAGCAATGGTGTCTCAGCAAACGATGTCTCACCCTCGAACGACGGCAAGGTGGATAGCGCCGCGTGTTATTACTCTCGTTTCACCGATGGTCGTCGTCTGCACGAGCGTACTGTACGTGGATTGCGCGCCAATAAGGGCGCCGATCATCTTGCCGACCCGTTCCGAGCGACACTGCCGGCTCGCGCGAGACGGACGACGACGTCGCCGGGGGCAGACAGGACGCGCCCGATCGACGAGGGCCAGCGGGCGAGGTCTCCGCCCCCGAAGGGCGCCGAGGTCGCACAGGGGTTGGTTCCGCGCCGAGGTACGAGGGCCGGGCCTGCGGGGGTGATCGACACCCCCGCGTACGAAAGGGCGGAAGCGCGCCTGCGTGTCGCGAACATGGCGGGAGCGGCCGCAGCCGCCACGGCGGTGGCCCGCATCGCGGCATCCGGCAGCGGTGGTGGCGACGAAGGCGGCGGTGGCGGAGGCGGCGACCGGGGGTGGACGGCCGACCGGGAGCACGCGGCCGACGTGCACCGGACCTCCTGCACTTACCGACCGGCGCTTGTCGACGACGTAGTTTGCCCCGGTAACGACGTGCCACCGGTTCCCTTCCGGGAACAAACCCTCTGCGGTAACACGCGCTCTCGCGAGAACCGCGCTCTTCTACGCCAGCGTGTCGCCGCGCCGGCGAGAGCTGTCCTGTAGTGATGGGACGACTGGGACACAGAAATAAGAGTCTCTGCTCAGTCTCACGTGTTTTTAACCGAAATGTCTTTTTAGCGAGACTACTAATCCATTAAAGACTGAATAATTATATTACTTTAATATATTTATACTCTCTTCTCTTTCAACAATAATTTACAATATAATTCGTAATCTGACAAGATCGACAAAGAAGATAAAACTTGTTTAAATTCAGAGCCACAGCTTATTTGTTCACAAATGAATATTATATCTTCTTTTTGGTACTTCCAAAGTTTAGAAGCACTATTGAAAGTCTTCGAATGAAATAT